ACCAGGCTGGCCTTGAACTCAGAGATCCCCCTGCCTCTGCCTCCCAAGTGCTGGGAATTAAAAGTGTGCACCACCACACCCAGAGAATAAGATACTTATGATACAGGAAGAATTTGTTTATATGCTTATCTCATTTAACCTTAATATGGTAGACAATTCCCTAAAAAGGGCTAACGAAAGATGTACTCACGTCTAATTGCATCAATTTCTATATATGTACAGGATTTAAACACTTGTTTTATGTTGATTAAGTAAGTCATCTTTACAAGTAGATAATATATTCCTTTCATTCTTTTGTTTGTTTGTTTTTTTCGAGAGAGGGTTTCTCTGTGTAGTTTTGGTGCCTGTCCTGGATCTCACTCTGTAGACCAGGCTGGCTTCAAACTCACAGAGATCTGCCTGGCTCTGCCTCCCAAGTGCTGGGATTAAAGGTGTGTGCCACCGCTGCCCGGCATTACTTTCATTCTTGTTATCATTTTACTATAAAACAGAACATTATCCAGGGAGTAAGGAATCGGTCATTTACAAAAATAGTTGAGCTATTACTTTTAGTTAACACTCAATGTTTGGGTTTTTAAAAAGTTGACCCTCAACAACTATTTTTATTTAGTTAGTACTTTATAGCAAAGCTTACCTGGCTCATGAATCATGTAATGAACCCAACCTAGACTCTGTTGGACACCAAGTCTCCTCCACTCCTCTTCAGACATTAGATGAGTTTTTGGTACTTGTTTGGAGAGTTCTCTGGGTAACATGACATGCCTGTTAAAAAAAGATTCAGCCAGATTACTGCTGTGTCTTTCCTACCATTATCACTTTATACAGGTACCTTTTAAGATACTGAAAATTTGAAGTCATTTCTCTAAAGCAACTCTGGATTACAATACTGTATCAATCTTGGGTATTCCCTATAACCTATACTTTTTTTGAGGGCTTATGTTCAAGTATTAGGCCAATAGTAAGCTGCACAGAAATGAAAAGCATTTTATTCTTTAGGGTTACCTTTCTGACAGAATATTTACTATTGATGAATCTTCCAGGAATAGTCACCCTCTCCTACAACTTTTGGTTATGAAACAACTCTTGGTCTACAAAATATAGACAGAAAATATTCAAGTACTGAAAAGTATATTCAAAATATACCCAACTGTCTCTTGTTGGACAGACTGATGGTAGCTGGACAGCCAGAGGCAATTATAAAAGTGAGCTGCATAGGAAGGAGGAAGGAAGGAGTCTAGTCCTAGGATTAGTTATCACTTTCACCTCAATCTGGGATTACTAAACTTTTAATAAAGGGCGCAGAAGAATGGACAAACTAAGACAATGTATTTTCTGCTACGCAATACTAGATCTGTAATAGATATAAGTTCTTGTATACATTCCATAGTTTGCTTTAGGCTTCAGAATTAAAAGCCAAAATACTAACTCATGCCTATGGACTTCCTACAGATCTTTAGTTTCCCAGTAAGTTACTGAATCAATTCCAGAACTTTAAAGGTAGGCACCTAAGTACAAGTCTTTTTTTTTTGAGCTGAGGATTGAACCCAGATGAACACAGAATTTTTCCTTTTGTTTTATGTGGAAAACCCACAATAACCCCTTTTCTTGGTAACAGATTAGTGAACAATAAGCTAAATCAGTAATGTAGGAGTATTATACTTGGAAAACCATTACGAGTTATCAACCACCACATCTATCTATCACCAGTGACTCAGCTGTTTCATGGGGGTAGGGGTGGGGCGCATTCTACTTTTGGGCAGGTTGGTCTCAAACTCCCTATCTTTTTGCTTTAGGCTCCCAAGTACAATAATTACAGAACCGTGTACAACACCCAGCCAGTTTGTCTCTTTCTAATGAATTGACCATCAGATTTCCAAATTTCTGAAATGGCCAACAGACCATAGAGAGACGTTTCTTTAGGCTCCTGCTTGAAGCCAACAGTTCCAGCAAACTGTTGGCCTTGATTCAGGGCCAAAACAAATACATACAATTCTAACAAGTACAAACAAATCTGTACCCTTGCCTGAATAGAGCACTTAATTATCACAAAGTATCTCTTTCTAAAACCCTAATTGTCAGCCTCATTTTACCCTTTCTGGTACTAAGTTTATACAAAATCAGCAATTAGCAATTTTTTTGACCAATATAAGCTGTGAGATGACAGAGTGTGTAAATTTAGTTCTGTATTTTTGGACATGGAACAATTCAATCCATAATCCTTTCTAGCCGGGCGGTGGCAGCGCACACCTTTAATCCCAGCACTCGGGAGGCAGAGAGGCAGGCGGATCTTTGTGAGTTCAAGGCCAGCCTGGTCTACAGAGAGAGATCCAGGAAAGGCGCAAAGCTACAAAGAGAAACCCTGTCTGGAAAAACAACAACAAACCATAATCCTTTCTAAGCACCAAATTGTCCACAACATAGATTTTAGGATATGGCTTATTATTTCAATGCAAATAATCTTTAAAACAACTTGATGACATAAGGTAAATGACTACAAAATAGTTATGCTTACTAACACAGTACACTCCCCTCAAACATTTCCAGGCAACTGTATAAATATTCTTACTCATACCAGTTACCACTCATTCTTGAAATACTGCTTAGATCATAGTGGAGGCAAGAAGGGTTGCCAAATTTCAGCGCACCTTGTACTATTTTTGAGATGGGAGTCTGTGTAACCCAGGGAGACCTTCAAGGCCTCATTCTCAACATTTAATTTTTAAGACTGTACAAAATACCTTGTGATCTTATATTCTATGGATAGTCTCAAATATTCAGATAGAAGTTGCTTCTACCTAAGTCATGTCAACAGGTTGCACTTCACCAGGGGTCGGATTATAATCGTAAATTTTTAAGTAGTGTTAAACTCACATGATGACTCTATCTGTATTTTATTACTGACCACATTAAGGAAATCTATTTCCAAAACCTAGTTTTTGTTGGAAAACAAAAAGTGCCACATATTACCACTTTATAAAAGTACCCAGAGAGAAAGAAATCCTCAGTTTTCCTTCTGTAAAGACAGACTCCCATGCTGAGCATGGTGGTGTACACCTTTACTCCTAGGACTTGGGTGGCAGATGCAGCCAGATCTGTCTACACATCAGGTTCCAGGACAACTGGAGCGATATAAAAAGATAGGCTCCCACAACAACCCACTGTTTGTTCATAGTAACCACTCACTGACAAAAACACTAAGCTTCTACCCAACACACATACTTCTACTCTATCTAAACCATCCTAGATCACACCTGTGTTATATCACCAGTACATTCTCTTTCAAGAGTAGCTCTCTAATTCCTCTTGTTTTGTAAAGGTTGGTGAATGCTCAAACCATGTGTGGTGACACACCCATAATCTCAGCTACTAGGAAGGCTGAGGGAGAATGGCAAGCTTGAAAAGCCACTTAATGGAAGACCTGGTTTCAAAATAAAATCTCCTGGGCTCTCCATTCCATTCCTAATACAGCAGCGGGTAGTAAACCAGCTCCTTGCTTACATTCTAACAATTACTTCAGACAGGCCAGCAGTTGCTTTCAAACACGTACAACTTATAGCCCAAGTTTAAAAACTACCACACTCCGGCAGTATGTCCTAAAGGAATGTATACAAGCCTATAAACCTTTATGCTAAACACTTAGAATTATTTGCCAAATTTAGAAGGAAGTACAATAACTTTCTGTTGATTATTGGATATCCCCAAGCTGGGCTCTGGGTTACTATAACCACCGAACATGCCAACTTATCACATGGTTACAATTACTATGTAAAGATACTAATTAAACTTTATAGCTAAGAAAAGACCCACGAGATTTCCTAGTTAAAAACATTCAAGTTCAAGCATTACTAAATTGTAAAACAGACCAGAGAAAGTTTTCCGGCTGTGAAGACTTCTATACTAAGGGCGTGAGCGAATTGGGGGGAGGGGGCGGTTAGGGAATCCACTCTTTAAAAAAGGGTCTTTCTTATTCCTCAAACAGCATGCTGGAGACTAACCGAAAAGGGCAGCAAACAGAAAACACGGTCACTGGTTGGCCAAAGGCGGCATAGGTTTTACCCACCTGGGTATCTTGACAGAGTCCCAGAATGCAACGCTTTAGTCCCAACCCAGTAGGACCCAGCGGCGAAAGGGCCTTTGAAACCACACCCCGGGTCGGCCTGAACACAATCAAGCTAACTGTAATCACCCCCTACTTTCCATAATCCATTTGCTTGTTACACTAAGGTAGGCACTACTTTCTAGAGCATCTCAGGGTTCAAGACCCCAAATCCCTCAAGAGCCCCAAACCAGGCCAAAACACATTAGCAGTTGAAGGTAATGGCGGGGACGGGGGGCGGGGGGACGGACAAAACCCTTCCAGGGTACCCTCGAGGTTTCAACCTGAAGCTCTTGAGTAACGCCCCCAGTTACCGCTTCTGCGGTTACCCCAACAGACACTGGCCAGTCCCCGTCGGGTGCACCTCGCGGGGCTTCCCCTCAGGGCCGGACCCGGCGAGCGCCGTGTGCGGTCGTCAACCCCCGGACCAGGCGCTGCCGAACCGCCTGACTCCCCAGCTCCTGCGAACCCCGAAGAGCGCGACACAAAGCGCGGCTGTCCGGGCGGATGGAGGCCTCTAAGGGACCCCGAGTCCCGACCACCGGCTCGGACCCCCCGGCGCCGCCCTCCCCCGCAGGCGCTGCTCACCGGTACTCGTAGTGCTCGTCGAAGTACTTGTCCGAGTAGTAGATCTGCTTGTGGGCCATCCTGCCGGTGCGCGGAGGAGAAAACAGGAGCAGGAAACGGGGCGCAAGGAGCTCCACGTCCGCCCAGGGCCGGCGCAACGACTCCAATGAGGCCAACGACCGCGGGCCCAACGCTCTGGATTTGAATCCGACAGCCCGCCGCCGATTGGACGGACTCACCGACCAATCACGCTCCACGCAGACCGCGAGGACAGGTAACCAATCAGAGGCCTGTTGCCGGGTTACGAGGGCGGGAGTAAGGCTGGGACAGCGCTGTGGTGAGGAGGGCCCGGCGATCCCTAGAGTTACGAAAGAAGGGCGGAGCCGAGTCGTTATGGACCTCACGGCGCGTGCGCAGTGGCTTAGACCAGGCCGTTGGGAGGGTGGACCCGAGGTGAGGTATCGCGGGGTTTGAGGAGTAAGGCGGGGCTGGGAGGGAGAACTGCCCGCCGCGCGGTGGGCCGGGCCGTGGGCCTCGGGCGTCATTAGCCGGGGAGGCTACCTCTGCGCACCGTGCCCGGCGTGCGGAAGTGAGCCAGCCGCCGCCCGGCCGCCTCTGCACAGACGGTCGCTCACCTGGTGTGCTGCCCCAAGCAGGGAGAGCCCAGGTGTGCAGACTTCTGGACACAGGGTGCCCTCCGTCGCCCCCTAGAGCACCCCTAACTACTGGCCGGTGCTATCTAGTCCCAGCTTAAAAAGATGTACTCTTGTAAAAGAAAGTTTCCGGAAGAAAACATGCTAGGATGTAAGTAGAGACTGGACGAAGCAAGTTACAGATAACAGCCATTTCCTCCAACGAGCCGGTGTCAGTTTTTCTGTCCAATTCCGTTTTATGCGAATTGTTAGTTGCAGCACGCAGCGGAATAAAAGGAGTCCCCGTGATCTCTCTGAATTGCTCGGGTGGGGCTACCGGGCTAACAATCTTACCCTTGCCTGCTGGGCATGGTGGCCCACGCCTTTAATCCCTGCACTCTAACGGGTTCTAGAGCGACGAAGTGGGACCCTATCTAAAACAATAAAGACAGAAGTCAACACGATAGGTAGCCTCACTACTGCAAATTTACTGTGTGGTTGGGTGACCAGCTGCCTGGGTAGTCATTCTAACGACAGTTTTTCTTACTTCACTCGGCCCGGTTAAAAAGCGAACACAAGGTCTTCTGACTTCTTACACTGCTTAAAAGTTATTGTTGGTACTATAAGAATAAATGTGCTAATTGCCTCCCAACGATATCACATGGGATGACAGGTGGGATTAAGACTTCAACATGTGAATATGAGGAAGTAAATGCGGATATCCTTGAGATCTGAGCGTCTTGTTCTGAGAGGTCTGGAAGTAAGTTGCTTTCCCAGTAGTCTCTATTGATTGAAGCCTTTGGGTTTCCTGCCCACCAGTTACTGCACATTTGCCCACTTGTTTGCCTGTCTGCACTGTTTACTCTCCATGCCTATTTATTTTACTCATTACCCATGTCTAGAGCATAATAGAGTCCCTGTGCATGGTGACTACTCAATAATGAACTATTTTTTTAAAAAAGAGGAAACTTTAAATAAACTGTCAGCATAGGAATACATTCCTAAATAGGCAGAATAATGTACTGATAGTAAAGATGTGAACCGGGCAGTGGTGGCCCATGCCTTTAATCCCAGCACTTGGGAGGCAGAGGCAGGTGGGTCCCTGAGTTCAAGGCCAGCCTGATCTACAGAGCTAGTTCCAGGACAACCAAAGCCATTACACAGTGAAACCCTGTCTCAAAAAACAAACAAACAAACAAAAAGATGTGAACAAATTCAGGGAGATACAAGTTGCTAGCTTACATAGAATCTGGGAAAGAAAAGCTTTATAAGGGATGTATTTTGAAAGAAAGTAGACAGGCATGGTGGCTCACCTTGTTATCTCAGAGCGCAGGAGGCTGAGGCAAAAGGATTGTCGAGAGTTCAAGGTCTCACAGGGTTACATAGTACCAGTCAACCACGATTATATAGTGAGATTGTGTTCTCAAGAAACAAATGAGGTATTTTTCAAATATAGAGGAGTGCGATCCACTCCTCTGAACCAAAGACTCAGGTTTAGCAATTAATATTTTGCTAATGTAGTTCAGGTTGGCCTTGAACTCATGTTCCTCCTGCCCCGTTCTGGGATTATAGGCAAGTACCATTGTGCCCAGCTTTAGGAAACACACACACACACACACACACACACACACACACACACACACACACCCCTTTATCACTGAAGAGATTTGGAATGTTTTGGTATTATATGCTAAAAATCAGGGACAGCAAATATATTTTTGATAATATCACTGTGTAATTTACCACATCAATACTATAAAGCAAAAAAGAAATACCATTATTATTGTCTTAATAGATGCAGAAAAATAATAAAACTCACATACTTATAATTCAAACTCAATAAATCTGCCAGGCACTGTTAATACTCAGAAATTAGAAGAAGGGGAAAGCTTGTTAACTGGAAGAGTATCCATAAAAATATTAACATAATTCTAGCCAGGCAGTGGTGGCCCATGCCTTTAATCCCAGCACTCGGGAGGCAGAGGCAGGCGGATCTTTGTGTGTTCGAGGCCAGCCTGGTCTACAGAGCAAGATCAAGGAAAGGCACAAAGCTACACAGAGAAACCATGTCTCGAAAAACCAAAACCAAACCAAAAACAACAACAAAAAAACCCACAAAAAACCAAAAAACCACATAATTCTTATGGAGAAACATTACAAATACTCCCTTAATTTTTTTTATTAGCTTTGTTAGCAGCTGGACATTGTAGGCAGTGTATGCTCAGTTTCCTTTCAGAATAATCACAGGGGCCTCTTCCTGTGTCCCTGTGTCCTTAACATCCGCCATAGTAAGGAATTTCAGGATAAGAGCATGCACTTGAAGAGAGTCAAATGTTGGTGTTACTGCCTTTACTCAGTAGTCTAAAATAACATTTGATTTGAGGCTAGTCCTTAGGAGGCATACTTGCATCTACTTTCTCCCTCTGGAGGACTTTGCTTAGGAATGCTGTCATCAGGAAGACATATAGGGAACTAATTTGACTACCCTTTGATTAGTACCAGCTGCCTTGAACACAGCATATGAAATGAAACAGTGGTATGGTGATAGACTGTGTACTCTAATACAATTTGCCTGAGGATCAGAGGACAGAGCCAGCCACTAGAATAGACATAGAGGCCAGGCAGTGGTGGCACACACCTTTAATCCTGTCACCCGGGAGGCAGAGATTCCTCTGAATCTCTGTGAGTTCAAGGCCACACTGGGCTACATGAGAGATGCAGAGCCAGGCAGTGGTGGCACACACCTTTAATCCCCAGCACTTGAGATCTCATGCCTTTGCTTGGGAAGCACACGCACCTTTAATCCCAAGAAGTAATATGGCAGGGCAGAGAATGGTATATAAGGTGTGAGAAAACAGGAACTCACTCTCTTTAGGCTGAGGATTTCATAGAGGTAAGAACTAGTGGCTGGCTGCTCTGCTTCTCTGATCTTTCAGCTTTCACCCTAGTATCTGGCTCTGGGTTTTTTATTTATATTTTTTTTAATTAAAAACCACCTAAAATTTGGCCCAATTCTATGAGGGCCTGAGTTCATTCAAGTCTCCAACGAACCCATGTAAAAAGCCAGGTGTGGCCATGCACAGCTGTAACCCAGCACTGTTTGAGGGAAGGAGTGGAGACAGGAGGATTGCTGAGGCTTGCTAGTCTCCAGTCTAGTAGCAGGCTCAGAGAGACTTTGCTCAAAGGAATAAGGTCAAGAATAATTGAGCAGGACACTCAGTATCCTCCTTTGGCCCCCATATATAAACACACACACACACACACACTTTTAGGGCTGGAAAGATGGCTTTGTGGGTTGTTTGCCGCTAAACCTGACAACCTGAGTCCAGACTAAAGAACCCAAATGGTGAAAGGAGATAATCAACTCTATGTAACACGAATTGCCAAATGGTCTTATTAATGAAAAATCCTGAGCCAGACATTGGGGTGAAAGCTGAAAGATCAGAGGGATAGAACAAGCCGGCCACAAGTTCTTACCGCTAGGAAATCCTCAGCCCAAGAGAGTTAATTCTTTTTTTCTTTTCTTTTTCTTTCTTTCTTTCTTTTTTGGTTTTTGGAGACAGGGTTTCTCTGTGTAGCTTTGCGCCTTTTCCTGGAACTCACTTGGTAGCCCAGGCTGGCCTCGAACTCACAGAGATCTGCCTGGCTCTGCCTCCCGAGTGCTGGGATTAAAGGCGTGTGCCACCACTGCCCGGCTGAGAATTAATTCCTATATACTCACACCTATATAACTTTCTGTGCCCTGCCATCTTACTTCCTCTCTCCACCCAGCTACATCACTTCCTCTTTCTGCCCAGCTCTATCACTTCCTGTCTCTCTGCACAGACCTCCAGACCTCTATGGTTAACTAATGCTGGGATTAAAGGCATGTGCCACCATGCCTGACTCTGTTCCCAGTGTGGCCTTGAACTCCACAAAGTTGTTCTCCGATCTTCACTCAGGCCATAGCACATACTCAGCTTTTGCTAGATAAGTGTAAACAAATAAAAATAATTAAAGCTCTTTCTGTGTGCACTGTTACAGAGTTCTTTTACCTTCTGTTCATTAGTGTGTCAGTTAGAATGGCTCATTGCCATTAAATTACTTGCTGTTGTTGGGTGTATGGGTAATTAATTATACAAAGTGATGGGCTTCATCATATTTTCATCCCTGTGTATCAGACTTGCTACTTTGCTCATTCACTTCACCATTACTTTTGCAACGCAGCCTTCTGGACAAGATGCAATTTGAAGATAAATGGTAAGTTTCACTTAGACAAAATCAGCCCATTAACACCAGACTGACCTACGTTTGCCTTTTGTGTACTTTCCCCTTCTCCAAGTCTGGCGTAAAGTCTACATTGACCCCATAAAATGAATTTGTTTTTATGCTCTTTTATTTGTGCTCTAACAAATGAAGCTTGCCTGGGAATCTGAGGACAAAGCCAGCCACTATATTAAACATAGAGATCAGGCATTGGTGGCACACGCCTTTAATCCTAGCATTTGGGAGGCAGAGATTCATCTATTTTTCCTCTTTTTTTATTATTCAGACCACCTTTCTTAGAATGTGATTTACTTTGGTTTTATGTTAATATATAGCTCATTTTTTTTTTTCTTTTTTGATTGTGTTGAGACAGGGTCTCTATGTAGCCTGGTTCTCCTGAACTCTGGATTGGATCCACTTTTCTCTCCCAGAACCTCCCAAGTTCTGGGACTAATGGTGCATGTCACCACTCCTGGCTTAGCTCAGAATTTTAATGCTTTCTTCCAATACCTTTCAAGTGCTACAGAGGTTAGAAAACTTGGAATTTTCCATGGATCTCATCACACCTGTGAGTCTGTACATGGTTAATTATCCAAAGGCTACTTCTCTAACAAATTAAGCATAAAGATAGGGAAGGGAGCTAAAATTGTTTTTATTGCCACCTAATGAACTACCTCCCAAGAGTAATGACTTTAAACAGACTTTTCCCCTTCACAGTGCTCTTACCTGCTGAGCCATCTCTCCATCCCAAGAAGGAGCTTCTTATAAAATAGAACTCTGGTTTTTAATAAACATTATCAGAACAGTGGAGGAAAACTTCATAGATGCTCTAAATAATCCATGGCCAGTATATGGAGAGCTATCTATATGTCCACTTTAAAATTGGAAACAGTGTTAAGGTGCATGTTGTTACCATGTGCAATATGATCACATCCTGTGTACTGTGATGTGAAAAAGATTTCAAAGCTGCTACTGTTGTACCCAAAGCCCTCCAAAAACCATCAAGAGACCAAATCTGATGCAAAAGCATAGAGTCTTTTTATTTGCATTAACTGGGGTCTCTCCATCTGTCTGACGAAGCAGCAGAGCAGGAGAGACCCCGAGTAGCAATGGGGCAGGGTTTTTAAAGCAAGGGGGCCTTGGGGTCTACAGGCTGCATAGGAACAGACTCGGGATTGGTTTATGCAAGTGGCAATCATGTTAGGAACTTTTAATTGGCTAGGGTTAGTTGGGGGTTACAGTTATCCAGGTCCCAGGCTTTGTCCTTGAGCTGCTCTGGAGGCTGGCTGGCCTAGCACACACTGACTGTGGGGGCTGGCTCAGTGGCCCAGGCTTGGTGTATCCTGTTGTCCTGTCCCTGCTGGCAGGGGCATCAGTGATTAATTGACTTCTGTTCATGGCCTTCCCAGAAACTGCTTGCTCAAGTCTCAGGAAACTGAACTTGAGGCCTGACCTCCGAGAGAAGACTGAGCAGCCTGTAATGGCGTCTGCTTGGTCCTCTCACTACAAAGTGTGTAATCCTACAGTGAGTGTCCCAGATCTTTATGGAGAGAGGCAGTGATGAGTTCCAGTGGTCAGCTTGACTGGATTAAGAAACTATGGGCATTGGTGAGGAAGAACACCGGGTATGTCTGTGAGGGTTTTTCCAGAGTATTAACTGAGCAAGTCTGCTGTGAATGTGGGCGCCACCACCCAGAGGTGGATGAAAAAAGCCAGCTGAGCACAAGGTTCTCTTCTCTCCTGACCCACGCAGAGGTGAACGAGCAGCCTCATGCTTCTGCCATCATGCTCTGCCTACAGCGTGGACTGCACCCTCACCCCACACCCCCACCCTGCACCCTCACCCCGACAGCCAAAAGGAACCTTTCTTCCCTCAAGTTGTTTCTTGCCGGCTGTTTTGTGCCACATGAAGAGTAGTTATAACACAACCAAAGATGGTTAGTTAGGAGTGCCTCTCTAAACCAGTGCACATTCTGGAGAGTTCTTCTGTGTTCATTATCTGTTCCTCATGATAAACATCTTTTTGGCCCCACTTTCCAGAGTGCTGGGATGACTAATGCATATTACCACGCCTGGCTTGATAATTCTCTTAAAACATTATTAAAACAGTAATGTAGAGCCGGGCATTGGTGGCGCACGCCTTTAATCCCAGCACTCGGGAGGCAGAGGCAGGTGGATCTCTGTGAGTTCGAGGCCAGCCTGAGCTACCAAGTGTGCTCCAGGAAAGGCGCAAAGCTACGCAGAGAAACCCTGTCTCGAAAAACAAAAAAAACAACAACAAAAAAAAAAGTGTGCACCTCCACACCACCACGTAAGAACCTAGGGCTGAAGAGATGGCTCAGAGGTTAAGAGCACTGACTGCTCTTCCAGAGGTCCTGAGTTCAATCCCCAGCAACCACATGGTGGCTCACAACCATCTATAATGAGATCTGGTATCCTCTTCTGGCCTGCAGACATACATGCAGGCAGAACGCTGTATACATAATAAATAAATAAATCTTTTAAAAAAAACAGTAATGTAGGGGAAAAAAAAGAAATTCATATGGCCAGAAAGGGGCTGAAGAGATGCCCAGTGGTTAAGAGCCCTTGCTGCTCTTCCAGCGGTCCTGAGTTAGGACCATAGCAACCACACCAGGCAACTCACAACAGCTGCAGCTCCAGATCTGAGTCATCCAGCTCCCTTCTCTGGCCTCTGTGGGCACCTATTCACATGTACCATAAACAAAATATTTTTTTTTTTT